GTTCCGTTCTTTTTTTTTTAGTTTTATCCATTCCAAACAGGCCGGATCCGGCCCGCGGGCCGTAGTTTGCCCACGGCTGGGTTAGAATGTCACCCATGGACTGAAGAGTCTTGGGTTCAACTCCCAGGTTCAAACCCAGCCCCAGTTGGAGGGTACGCAGAAGGCAACCAATCAATGTTTCTCTCTCTCTCTCTTCCTTTCTATTTCCACTCTTTAAAAAAAAGATGGAAAAAATACCCTGGAGTAAGAAAAACTGAAGCCCTGGCCGGTGCAGTTCAGTGGTTAGAATGTCACCCCATGGACTGAAGAGTCTTGAGTTTGACTCCCAGGTTCAAACCCAGCCCCAGTTGGAGGGTATGCAGAAGGCAACCAATCAATGTTTCTCTCTCTCTCTCTTTTTCTTTCTATTTCCACTCTTTTAAAAAAAGATGGAAAAAATACCCTGGAGTAAGAATTAACAACAAAAATTAAAAACTGAAGGACCTTCTGCACTATGCCCAACAATTTTACTGCCAGGAATTTATTATGAACAAAATATGTACCAGAAATTTCACTGTTGTATTGTTTAAAATAGAAAAAAAAATTAAAATAACCAAAATGCCCATCAATCTTTGGTAGCAGGAGAGGGTAGGTGGAAAGAAGGGGAAACAAGGAATGCTCCTTGGTAACGTATACATGCTTAGCCTCATTGCTTAAACTGCAGAATGCTTGAGAGAGAGAGTAAGGGAACAGGACTTAAATGTCTTTACACCCAGGGTTCATGCATATGACCCTGACCAAGAGGCACCAACAATAGTAGGTACTCAAGTGTTTGCTGATAAAAAAAAAAAAAACAAACTCAAACACATGTAAAACAAAAAGACTTACCTCCTACCTTGTTATTAATGTAAGTGGCAAGACTGTGCCTACTTATTTTCTAGTTTCATCTACGTGGAATGTGGCCTAAAGAAGTCCATTACCTTATCATGAGCATTAACCTAACAATTATTCCCAGAACTACACTTAGACTGTTGCTGACAAGCAAAGGGTGAGGTCAAGCAAGATGAGCTCTAACACTACAAGGCTACAAGCTGTCAGCACGACTCTCTCATGAAACACAGAACGACAAAGATTGTATTTCAGACGCACCTAAATGCCAGGACGTGGACCTGTCCATGTGCTTTCCATTACACGCCACTGAGCTCCATTTCCTTGTGCTGTCGAGGTCCAAGCTCGAAACCAGACAGGGAGTCCCGATGAGCAGGGTTAAGACCTAGCCAGAAAAGAAACAGATAATAAATAAAGAGTAATAGCCAACCCACCAGGAGGCACACTGCATGAATGGCATCCACTTCTCACTCCTGGAACCTGCTGTTACTTCTTCGCTTCTAAGGAGTATTTCCAAGGCCCAGCCCATCCCTGGGCAGGATCACAGACTGCACCTTTGGTCCCTTAAAAATCAACTCCCCATCTGCACAAATATTTGGGAAGATGGTATTTTAAAACATCTGGAAAAGGCAATTTTGTGCTCACTTGGGCTTTCTTCTTTGACAATTTTTTCCTCTCAGCCTCACCTGAGAACATTTCATTGATTTTAGAGCACTGGGGAGGAAGAGAGAGAGAGAAACATCAACGTCAGAGAGGAATCCTGATCGGTTGGTTGCCTCCTGTACATGCCCAGGCTGGGGCCGGAGACAAAACTGGCAACCTAGGTATGTGCCCAGCCAGGGAATTGAACCCTCAACCTATCGGTGTACAGGATGAGACAGCGCTCCTACCAACTGAGCCACACCAGCCAGGGCATTTTCTTTGATAATTTTTTAATTCCATATTCTCTAGAACAGGGTTTTGATTTAAAAAAACAAAACAAACTTTTTAAGAACTTTCTTCCACAACCTGGGAACCACTGGGCCCACACTTTATAGGTAAGAAACTCAAGCGGGGTAAGGGCTCCTTGGCCTCCAAGGCCTCAGAGCTTATAAGAAATGCGGCATCGCCCTAACCGGTTTGGCTCAGTGGATAGAGCGTCGGCCTGCGGACTGAAGGGTCCCGGGTTCGATTCCAATCAAGGGCATGTACCTTGCTTGCGGGCACATCCCCAGTAGGGCCTGTGCAGGAGGCAGCTGATCGATGTTTCTCTCATCGATATTTCTAACTCTCTATCCCTGTCCCTTCCTTTCTGTAAAAAATCAATAAAATACATTTTTTAAAAAAAGAGAGAGATGCGGCATCACAGCGTGAGAAGCCTTGCCTCTCATTTCACCTCTACAATGCCCCCATGCCTCCCCTAGAATGAACTGAAGATACTGCATTTGTGGAGAAATCAAAGATTTAATTATTCAAAAACCACCTTCTTTTAAATAATACATTGGAGGGTGCTTCCATAAAAGCAGGTCACATTCTATTTAAGCTGGGCTATCACTAGGTACACAGGCTCATTTTATTGTTTATTAAATGAATGTACTTATACATACTTGCACCTATGCATATATTTCACAATTTTACGAAAACCCAGAGCCATGGCCAGGTGACTCAGTTGGTTGGTGCATCCCCATACACCAAAAGGTTTGATTACCTGGTCGGGTGAGGGCAGGAGGCAACAGATCAATGTTTCTCTCTCATCAATGTTTCTAACTCTCTATCCCTCTCCCTTCCTCGCTGTAAAAAATCAATAAAAAAAATTTTTTTAAAAAAGAATTCCTTCAATTAAAATAAAACAGCCGGACTCCTGCGGCGGTCTCTGGAAAAGAAAATCGCATGAGGTAGTGATAGTTTAGCCAGATACCAACACATTTCTCATCAGAAAATACTTAAGCTGTGAATCTTTCACACCACTGTTTGTTTTGGGAGAGTGAGCATCACCATTCACCAATGACCCCGAAGTCAATATGCACGTAAAAGGCATCACACTTGTAGCAGCCCAGCCTCTCTTTAATGAATCTCCAGTGAACCTGTTAATTTTTTAATTAACTTCAGACACTAAACATTAACCTTTCGCTGTTTGGGACAAAAAATATTACTAGTAAGTTTGAGTGATTAGAATATGAATGGAGAAATTCTGTTTTTCTCTAAAACATATTTTTGCATGTGAGGCAAAATAAATAAATAAAGTAACTTATTTTCCAAAATAAATTACTGGTAACCAACAATCTATTTTAAGCTCTGTCTATTAAAACTTAAAGAGCCCTGACCAGTTTGGCTCAGTGGCTAGAGCGTCGGCCTGTGGACTGAAGAGTCCCAGGTTCGATTCTGGTCAAGGGCATGTACCTTGGTTGCTGGCACATACCCAATAGGGGGTGTGCAAGAGGCAGCTGATCGATGTTTCTCTCTCATGGATGTTTCTAACTCTCTATCCCTCTCCCTTCCTCTCTGTAAAAAATCAATAATATGTATTTTTTTAATAAAAATAAAAATTACAGAGTCAGCGGGAGACACAAAAGCAACATCCATTAGTGAGGACTGGGAATAATGGAAAGAACATGAAAAAAGTAATGAAAAGCTTTGGAAGAACAGCTTATTTTTTCATTACATCAACTCTAATCATATATATTGTTCTTTCAAAAATATAAGTTGCACACATGTAGTATAATCCCACTTTTATTAAAAGTATAATTATATAGTACATATTTGTGGTCAGAGAAAAGGGTTAGAAAGGATAAACATCAAACCACCTTGAAGTCTAGGGGGTATAAGAGTTGGTGACTTCTGAAATTTGCTTTATACAATTCTGACCAGTTAGAATTCTTTTCCAACATGTGTATGCTTCCTTTGTAAATCCTTTAAAGAGCTGAAAAAAACCATGTTAATTTTTTTTTTAAGTTTCCATGAAGGCAAAGCTGCAAATCTACCAAATGTCATTTTAGCTACGAATCGTGGGAAAATTCTGAAAAGGTAAGTAAAAGCCACAGACCATGAAGATGTATTTTTGGAAAATATTTCTTAAAGCTGATTGGTAAGATGAGTATTTGGAAGAACTGGCTTTCAAACTCCACCGACCAAACTATCATAGACCAAAACACCGAATTAAGTCAGAAGTTCTAATATTAAAACAACGCAAATTTATTTTTGAGGAAAGACCTAAGCAGGAAGGGTCACTCAACAAAAACAAGCCTGCATCATCAGTGAGCATCCCTGAACTTGCGTCACAGCCCCGCTGGAACACCCCACCCCTCATGCATTCCACCACACTCGGGAGCATGAACACCTACCCGCGCACACAGGGCCACGGGGCTGAGGTCAAAGGCCAGGCCCCATGAGCAGGTCAGAGGAACCTCACTTGGAGCACAAAGACGCCTGACACCCTTCTGCTGTTGGTTCATTGGGATTTTTCAAAATGCTCTATGTGGTGATTCCCAAATTTTTATTTCATAGAGAGAAAAATAGTCACTAAAAAATTCAGGTGAATTTTAGAATTAAAAATTTTTTAGAAAAATATAGAATTCTAGTCTTTGTCTTTTATCATTTCCTTAAAAATGGTAACATTAACACTTTGGAAGCAGGAAGAATTTAACCCCAGAGCCAATACCACTCACAGCCCAAGAACTCTAAGCAGCTAACTCATTATATCAATTCAGTAGATTCCAAAAAAAGCTAACAAAACCCCAACGCCTGATTTTAAAAACAAAAACCTTTTCAATAAAAATTAAAATGATACCTGAATATCACAAAGAACATCTGAAAACAAGGGCCAATAAAAATGCTATGTACTCAGCATGCTTTTACATTTAGCTTGTACTTTTAAATTTTTTTTTTTGGTCTTTTTTTTCTTATTTTAGTTTGTACTTTTTTTTTTTTTAATATATTTTATTGATTTTTTGCAGAGAGAAAGAGAGAGAGATAGAGAGTTAGAAACATCGATGAGAGAGAAACATCGACCAGCTGCCTCCTGCACATCCCCCACTGGGGATGTGCCTGCAACCCAGGTACATGCCCTTGACCGGAATCGAACCTGGGACCTTTCAGTCCGCAGGCGGACGCTCTATCCACTGAGCTAAACCGGTTTCGGCTAGTTTGTACTTTTTAAAGGAGTTGCAAAAGGAGCACATGAATGTACCTGAAAATGTTGGTGAAATGGGCAATTTTTTAAATGAAAACTTTTTTGAAAACCTAAACAAGTAACATACAAATAGAGAAAATTATAAAAGCAAAGAACTATGCTCAAAAAAGGTGCCAGGCTCAAATTCACTGTCGTTATTCCCTAACCTTTTCAGTAAAAAACAGAAAACAGGAAACCTTCCCTATTCCTAATTGTAAAACAGACAAATTAACAAAGAAAGCCCAAGAGAAGAAAACGATGTTAACCTCACTTGCCTTTGCTAGATTATTTTTTTTAACTTTTATAAATGTGGCATGAAAAGAATGGTATCTGGTTTCAGTCTTGATTTCTTTGATCCCTGTGTATAAGTTCTTATGAACCATGTGTGCCTTTTGTCCATTTTCCAGCAGGTTTGGCCTTTTCTTATTCATTTGTTAGAGCTCCTTGTAAATTAAGGACATTAACCCTTGTCATGTTGCAAACATTTTCCCCAGAAAAAGCAAATAACTGCTTTGCCATTCTGTTTGTACCACTTGAAATAAAAGACACTTTTAAAATCTCTCTGATGTTAAATCTAATTATCTTTTCACAATTTCTCCTATCACTTTTATGCTGTGAAAGTCCCACCCTGTTCCAAGATCAGAGAAATACTCGCCATCATTTTCAGCTAGATGTTTTTGGTCAAAATAATTTAAAAATGATAAGCGGCCATCCTTTTAAAAATGCATATTCAATAAAATCATTGCTCTAAGAAAACATACCTCAATTTGAGGTCACCCTAAAATCAGCAGTGAATAGTTATATTCACTTTACTTGTAAAACAAGTGAGAAATGGCTAAAATATAACAGTAAAATACTTTATGATAAAATTCTATAAAGCCATTCTATAGTATACTATCTAGTGACATGGAGAAGGTCATAATTCGTTACTAAGTGGGGGGAAAAAAGAACATCTCCAGTTATATAAAAACTATACTTATCTGGCAAGCCAGGCAAGCGAGACACCTAATATTAAGCGTAACAATGCCCCAGCCAGGTGTTCAGTTAGTGGAGCATCATCCCATACACCAAAAGTATTTTGTGCTCAAATCCCAATCAGGGTACATACCTGGGTTGCGGGTTCGATCCCCATTTGGGGCACATAGAGGAAACATTTTTTTTTTTAAGCAGGAAATGTTTTTTTCTGCTGTTTTTCCTTAAATATATTTTATTGATTTTTTACAGAGAGGAAGGGAGAGGGATAGAGAGCTAGAAAC